TTTTTTTTTTTTTTTTTTTTTGTATTTAATTATTTTTTTAACCTTAAAAAGAATAGACTATAAATTTATTATTAAAATATAAATTTTTTATATCTTATTTTCATTATAAAATTTTGTAATATTTCAAAAAAAAAAAAAAAAAAATAATATAAATATATATAAAAAAAAAAAAAAGTTTTCAAATCTTTTTATATTAAATAGTTATATATATATATATGTAAACTATAAAAAAGATAAAATGTGTTTGTTTTTTTAAATATTTGCATATTTGATATTTTCCCAAAACTCCTTTTCTTCCATTATTTTTTCATTATTTGGAAAACTGTTTAAATCTTTTTTTATCTTTTTGCAAATATTAAAAATATAGCAAATAATATTTTTATCTTTTATGCTGTTATATATATCTCTAAAATTTAATGAATGAACTGTCCAACCTATAAAATAAAAGATGTCAAAAACATTTATATGTATGATTATAAAAATAAAATTAAAGAATTCATTAGTACCTTTTAAAGCAAGTTGTTTTTGTCTTAATTCTGAAGATAATAATGGTCTATTTGATGGAAATAAAACATCCTTCAAAAAAAAAAAAAAAAATAAATAAATAAATAAATAAAAAATAATAGAAAAATTCATACACATATAGTTATTCAAAATTATTTTATAGTTAAAAAAAAGAAAAAAATATATTGTTTATATATTTCTTATAATTAATATATATTTTTTTTAATTCCATTATTTACTTCATATAAAAGTAAATCTATTAAATGCCTTTCATAAGGAAACGAACAACAAATTTTATAAATATTTTCATGAATATAAGACCCTTTATATTGAATATTCAACTAAGAAAAAAAAAAAAAAAATATGTATATATATATATATATAGATGAAAATTTTTTTTTTTTTCTTTTTTTTTTCAAATTAATAAATTATCATTTTGTTTTTCCTTTTTATCACTTACGAAATTTAAAATATCACTAATAATATGATCAAAATGAAACATTTTAATTTTTTTTTTTTCTTTTTTAGATGTTAAATAATTAATATTTCTGTTATTGATATCATCTATATTATAATTCAAAATATAATAAAAAAACTTTGCAATATTCATATTATTATCTAATGATTTGCATATTTTTTTATTATTTAATGAAAAATTTATTGTTTTATTATCTTTTTCATCGATAAGATTAACATTTGTTTTTTCATAATTTAAATCTAAATATATATTTTCCTCGTTAATATATACATTATCTAATACTTTGTTCCATATATGATGCATATCTTTATTTTTACAAAAAAAATTAGAAAAATTATAAATATGATAGCATACTTGTTTTGATAACATAATAAATTCATATGAATATATATCATCATAATATTTACAAATTTCACTTAATATATGATATAAATAGTTATATTTGTTTAACAAAATGTTTACATATAATAATTTTAATAATAATAAAGAAATATCTTCATCTCCTTTTTGGATATACGAAGACAATTTATCATTTGAATCGTAAAATAAATTAAAACTTAAAACTGATTTCACATTTCCTATTTCATTTCCTTCATGTCTAGAATCATTATGTTGTTCATTGTAAAGATTCAAATTATTTTGTTCTATATCATAACTATATCTATGATTCATGTATTCCTCTGATAATTTTCTAACTAAATCCATCTTATTATTTGTTAAAGTTAAAACATATAAAAAATTTATTAACATAAAAGAATTTATAGGCTTTTTTTCTTCTATAATCATATGTTCAATGACATCGTATAATTTCAAAATATTGTCATCTTCATAATGAATATTAAAGCAGGCATAGCAAAGTGCTATACAACTATTTATGTCTATTTTGCTTCTCTTTTTAATATCATAATTTAATTCAATATCACTATTATTTGTTACAATTTCATTATTACAATATTTAATTTTTAAAAAGTTGTTTATATTTTCCTTAATACCCTCAACATCTTTATATGTATTATTGCTATTTTTTAATTCTTCATTATTTATAATATTCCTTTTTTCTTCTTTATTTTTTTCATTGTGACTTGTATCACATTCTTTATCTGAATTATTAATTAATTGTTTATTATTATAAATGGAATAATCATTTTCATCTTCCCCATAATTATTTAATATATTTTGAGTTATTGAATTAATTTTTTTTTTAAATACACTTATTAATTTTGGTCTACGAGACAAATGCGTTAATGCTATAAATTTCAAATTCCGATTTGCTGTAATATTACTTAAAAAAATTAAAAATTCTATATTTGAACTTTTTAATAATATTGGAATAATTTGTCTCATTATCATATTTATTATTACATCATCATATATATTACCATTTTTCAAAATAATTAATAAATTATTAACATCCTTAATGCTTAATTGCCAGAAATTATTTAATCTGATTTTTATCTGTTCATATAATAAATCATTTATATATGGTAAATAGACTTCTTCTTCACTTTCAATATTTAATTGATTTATGTTTACATTATCATTGAATATATCCACATAATTGTTTGCATATGATTCATTTTCATTATTTAATGTATTTAAGTAATATTTATTATCCATATTTTTATATTCAGAAATATAGGAGAAATTTAAATAACCCTGATTGGTATATTTCATTAAATCATTTATTATTAGCATTATATTTATACAATCTTCTCCATACAATAATTTATACTTCTTTTTTATTTGTTCTAAAATATAAGAAATTAATTTAAAAACATCAAGATTTTTTACATTTAAGTAATATATATTTTTTAACGAATATAATATTAACGTTAAATTTTCTAAATACAACAATTTTCTTATTTGATAAATTTGTTGAACTAATAAATAATAATATTTGTGATCATATATATCTAAAAATGATGAATGATATATAACATTGGTCAGTTGCAATGGAGTAAATGCATATAGATTTTTTATTACCTTATTTTTTAAATGATTAAAGAGATGCTTATATCTATAATTAAATTTAATTCTACTTAAACACGTTAATATAGAAACAACATCTTTACTACTAATATGCTTCATATTTTCGTTTATTTTTGTCAAAATATTAATATACAAATCTGGTTTATCTACGTTTGCAAAAGTATAGGACCACAAAATAATGCATAAATTTTTTATACTCATATTATGTATATAAATATTAATAGCATTATAAAATACATCATTATAAAGATAATCATCATATTCATTCAATTTTGTTAAGGAATATATTATATTAATAACATCTAAATAACTAGAATCATGAATATTTTTTTCTATAATTTTTTTAACTTTTTTGACTAATTTACATGTATAATTAACATTACTAAAAGACCACAATATATTGCTTATATTTTTCATACTTAATTGATCTAAATTTTCTTCTATTTTTTTTGACAACTGATAGTAAGTATTTACATCTTTATATTTTAATTTAGATAATGCTGTAAGTAAGCAAATAACATCATTTAAACATACAAACATTGAAATATTTGATTTAATTATATCAATAATTTTATTTTTTAAATTTCTACTTTCATTTGTTTCAATAATTATATTACTTAATGTATATAAAATACTGCATATATGTTTTGCTTCTATCTCATTTATTTTTTCATTAATAAGATTAATGATACAATTAAAAAAAAAGGGCAAATGATCAATTTTAACGAACGCATAAAATATTTGAACTAAGTTAGAAATTTCAAATAAACTTAAATTTTCTTCAATTTTTTTTAAAATACACAAATACATATAATTTTTTATTATGCTTTGTTTTTGATATGAATCTATTAATTTAGATATTTTAAGAAGTGCACTACTTAAATTAATATTATCGCAATTATGTAAATTATTATAAACTACACTTATTATCCCATTCACTGTTTTTTCTTTCTTTATTTCTCTTTGTATTATTAAATTGTCTATATTTCCATCAATAATGGTGCTTAAAGATTCTCCACTTAATCTTTTTATTATTTCAGAAGATTCAACTTTAATAACATTTTTTCCTTCCATTTCACTATTATTTTTTATTACATCTCCTTTTTTTATTTCAGCATCTTTTTGAGATTCACTCTTTTTATTTATATCATCGTTTTTCATTAATCCATTCTCTTTTGATAAATTATTAAGGCATCTTTTTGCTGTAATATGATCTGTTTCTTCAACAAAGAGTAAATTATTCACGACATTTGGAGAATTTATATTATTTGGAGAATTCAAATCATTAATTAAAATATCACTAGTTAATTTTTTTTGTTCATTATTGTATTTATTTATTTCATCATAAATATTATGATACTTAAAATCTTCTTGAATTATATTATTTATATTAAGATCATCCTTTTCATAATTTATTTTATTATTTGAGCAATTTTCTTCCTCTAGTTTCTCATTCTTATTATTTTCACTAATCCTTTTTGAAGAATCCTCGTAAATTTCATCATACGATTTTATATCATTGACATACGTTTCATCATTTTTTAAAAACAAATCAATGTCATCATGTATGTCCTTCATATTATTTTTTTTTTTATTTTTAATTTTAGTATCACTATTTAATTGTTCTCTATTTTTTTTTTTATTTTGATCTAATTCAATAAATTTTTCTTCTTTTTTTATTTTTTCACTCTCTCTACTCATTTTATGATCAATATCTTTTTGATATGCTTTCAATTTTTTTTTGTTTCTTAAATAATCTTCTTTTTCTTTTAAAATTTCCCATAAACTTTTTTCATCATTTTCCAATACGTTTTGACTGAATCTATTATTTTTTTTTTCAGGAGATTTATTATTTCTCATTTTTTCATAATTATACTTCTCTATAAAATTTATATATTTCTCATTATTTAATAAAAAATCATTGCTAGTTTCATTTTTATTTAATATTCTTACTGTACTATACTCTTCTTTATCATAATTTTCCTCTTCAAATTTGTTTACAAAATCTTTTTGTTTTTGAATATATATATCATCCACTATATCATTTTCTTTATTTTGTTTATTGGAGTTATCATTGTATTTATCTTCTTCATTTATAGAAATAAAATTTCGTAAAAATAGTTTTTTTTTTAAATGATTGCAAATTGAATTATTATAAAGGCCTTTTAATACTGAAGTAGAATAATAATTGAATCTACTAAAATTTCCTATAAAAAAAATTTTCATTCTGCATTAAGTGTTCCTATAATATATTTCTTCTTTTTTTTTGTAAGATATTTCCTGAATTTTTTTTATTATTTTAAACATTTTTTTTTTTTTTTTTATTGTATTTTATTGTTATATTTTTCATTATTCATATTTTTATTTAAATTTTTTTTTATCAAACCTTAATAACATTTTTTTTTTATTGCTTTATTTTATATTTTTAATTACAAGATAAATATTTCATTTCAAAATATATTTTTTAATAGTTTTTATTTTATATTTATAAATATAAAGAAAAATAAAACTCTTTCCATAATAATGATAATCGATTTCTATTGTATTTTTTAATAGGTGTGATACATTTTTTATTATTTTTATTTTTTTTTTTTTTTAATTTTTCTTCATTTAATGTGTTGTTTACTACTAAAAATAAAAAAATTTATATAAATAAAAAAAGTTAATAATAAAAATAGCTTTTATTAATAAATTATATTGATATAAAATATAAAGTATGTATATTTTAATGAAATTCATTTGGAAACATTTCAATTTATTATAAGCTTTTATACAACATTATAGATGAGGCATATAAAGATGTATTTATTTAATTCAAGAATAAAAAAATAAAATAATTAATGACAGTTTGCCCGAGTGGTTAAGGGGTTGGACTTGAAATCCAATGGGCTTTGCCCGCGCAGGTTCGAATCCTGCAGCTGTCGGCTTATTATATTTATAAAATTAAAATACATATATAAAATTAATATAATTTTAATCTTTAGAATTTTTTTGGAAGCTTTTTATAGGATAGTTTTTTAAAACATTATATAAAGAATAATAAAAAAAAAAAAAAATATAATTCTATTATAAATATATTATATGCTTAAATTTTATAAGCTCTCTTGTATATTATGAATTTTTTAATATTTATATTTAAAACAAAAGTTAATATTCTTAATTATATAATAATAAAGATGAAAAGTTAGTTTATTCATAAAATGGAAAATTAATAAAATATTTCAACTTGTAAGAATTTAAGAAGAAAAGATATATTTAAAATTATGTAAAATTTAATGAAATTGTTATTAAAATAAAGTATTATAATGTATAAAACTATCAACATGCTCCCATTTTTTTTTTTAAGGAAAAACTTCAGAAATCTATTAAAATCCTCAGTAATAATAAATTAAGAATAATGTCTCAATTTACAACATATATTAGATTATGGTAATTTTTCCTTTGCCTTTTTTTTTTTTTTTTTTATGTATGATAAACTTCGCATTAAAATTATTCAAAATTATTATAATTATTTATAAAAAAATTATTTTAAAACAAATTTATACTTATATATATATAAGTATGTACTTTTAAAAATGGATAAGCAAGTGTTATCATTATATATATATAAAAAATTAAAAAAAAAATTTTCATTTTTGTAAAAATGTTACCCTTCTTTAATTTAATAATAGAAAATACTTTATCGAATATTATTATAAATTCATTTTTATTATTATCATTATAATAAAATTTTTTTAAATAATATATATTTATGTGATATTCCTTTTAGATATAATGATAAATAGTAGTATTTATGTATTTTGTAAATTTTCATGCTTTATTTAATTATTGAAACCTAAATAGAGTATAAACATATAAAAGAAAATTGAGAAATCATTTATTATTTTAAAATACAAAAACAGCTTCAAAAAAATATAATTTAGGAGTTTATAAAATAAAAATAATATATATAAATTAAAAAATAATTTGTTATAAAAAATACTATAGATCTATATGTCTGAAAAAAATAGTATCATTTATTATCATCTAAAAAAGATTAAGGAAATTTAGTATATTAATTTAAACAATTATCTTAAAATTAATTTTTTTTTTTTTTTTTTTAAATTACCATAAGTAAAATAAAAAAAAAAAATCATTTGGTTTCTGCTGATTTAAAGAACACTGCAGTGTTTAATGACTTCCTTACGGATGCTCTTTGAATACAAGAAATGGGTACATTTGTGATACATTGGATTACATCTTTATATGATAATGTATTAAAATTAAAAAATAATCTCAAAAAATGCAATGGTTCTATTATTTCATTTTCTTTTAAACTTCCTGAACTAAAAATAAGTTTATTTAGTGGAATAACAGAAAACAAATTATTTATATTTAAAGCTAAAATAACATATTGATAATCTTCAGTTATTGTATTCAAAGAAGAAATTTCAAAAAAAATACCTCTATCTAATGCATTTTGTATATCAGATTTTCTTAAGGAAATAAAACATTTCTTTAAATCAAAATAAATTATATCACAATCAAATTTAGAGGCTGCTAAATTAATTTCTTCTGCTGATGTAACTTCTATTCCTATCAAATCAAAATTATTTTCTTTAATATATTTATTATAATTTTCCATTTTTAAAGCATCTTGATATTTTATATTTAATCTCTTTAATACATATGTACTATTGTTATTTGATAAAAAAAAATTTTCACTTGGTAATAAATTATATACATTTTTTAATTCTTCTTGTGTGATTTCATTTTTTTTATTAAATATAAAATCATCACACACATCTTTAATACATAGTGTATTAGTTCTATTTATTAAAATAAAATTTTCTTCTATATTATTATTTATATTTAATAGATAATCATTCATTATATCTACATCATTTATATTATCAATAAAATAATTACTAGTTTCATTGTTGTATGATTTATGCACTATATCATTATATTTAAAACAATTTACAATTTTCCACTTTTCATCATACTTACAATTTAAATCATAATTTATACTTATAGCAACTATACTATATCCTATATTAAGTGCCTTATATATTAAAGCTTTTGTATTTTTCTTTGAAGAAAATTTAATGTTTAAATCTACATACATTGTTGTTTATTTATATTGTTTTTCATTTTTAAAGAGAAAAAAAAAAAAAAAAAAAATTTGTTAAATTATTTTCTTTTGTTTTTTATTTTTTAAATAATTTTCTTTTATATCATCATCTTTTTTAAATATATAAAATGTTAAAATAATTCATTATAATTTCAAATAATTTTTAAATAAAAATTTTATACTAATTTTTTATAATATGTATATTAAATTTTCTTTTTTCAAAATTAATTATAAGATGTTCTATTAATTTTAATAACTTATCTATTAAATATTAACATAAATATTTATAAAACAATTACATAATTTTTTTTTTTTTTTTAAAGAAATTAAAAAACACTATTAAATGAATATTTTATTAAAAAAAAAAAAAAAAAAAAAAAAAAAAAAAAAAAAAAAAAAAAACTAAATGATATTCACAAGAAAATCTGTTTTAACACTTGTAAAAAAAAAAAAAAATAAAATAAAGATCATTTTCCAAAATGTAAATTATAGATAACATATTAAATTACATAATAAAACATGGTAAATATAAAAGACAAAATTATAATAATAATAAAAGAAAAAAGAATAATGATGTTAACGAAAATGAAAAAAATAATACATATAAAAAAAGTAAATGTATTAATATTAAAAAAGATTCTATTTTTCTTATTAAATAAAATAAACGAAAATGTTACAAAAAGTATTATATGCATCAATAAGGATAATACAGTTAATATAATTAACATATATACATATTTATATGAAGAATAATTTCAAAATGTATATAAAAATCTAAATTAAAACAAATTTTATGCATAATAAATTATTTATTTTCATTTAAAATATAAAAATTAAAAACAAATTTCATTATTTTATTATTTTTTTTTTTTTTTAAAAGAATATATATATTTTTAGTATAATTTTGATAAAAAAAAAAAAAAAAAAAGGAAAAAACTAATTTAATATGACAAATTTAATACTTAAAAAAAAAAAAAAAAAAAATAGAATTTATAAAACCTTATATATTTCTGAAAAAAAATTAATTTATGACATCATATGACTCTTCATTTCCATCAATATTGTTTAATGAAGAATTGGGAATATAATTCATGCTATTTTTAGAACTATAATTATCTTGTATAGAATCTCCATTTTGTTTGTAATCATCAGGTATAGACATAAAAGATTTAGTTTTTTTATTAGTTCCAATACTTATTTTATTAATCAAAGGGCTTTGTAGTTGCATATTTCCATGTAGTACATCATTCATCATTGGTGCAATAAATCCGGTAATGTTAGGATCTACCCATCCTTCAGGAACTGAACCAAATACATTTTGAAGACATGAAATATCATTTTGTTGAATCTTTTCTGGAGGAACAAAATCAAGGAATTTAGGTTTAGGAAGATTTGGTACTGGAATATATTGATGTACTTCAATAGCATGTAATTTAAATGATATAGAATCTAATTTTCCTCCATCAACTGGTGGTTTATCAATTTTTCCCAAATATTCAATAGTAGGATTAACAGGGCTTTTTTCTAAATGATCGCTAGAAATAGTAGATTTTGCATCTGTTGGGGGACCCATTTGTTTTTTAACTGAATTTAAATCTTTTTTAAAAAATGATGCAAAATCTTTAGGCATTGATTTAGGATATCCTGTCTGTGGATCAATATCTTCACCATCAGTCTTTTCTTCTTCGTTACATTTCTTAAAAGAACAAAAAGACCACTTTTTCTTTTTATCTGTATGCATTTTTTTTTGAGGATTTAATCTTGCTATTTCTAATAGAGATTTTTTCACAGATTCGTCTACATGTATATTGGGAATATTATAAATATTAGTATTTTTTAAAAGTAACTCTGGAGGAATATCTGCTGCTTTTTGATTAGGATTGATAATTTGAGATGTATTTTCGAATTGAACTTCAGGATAAGGAACTATTAATGGTGGTGGGCAATCTAATTCGACATCTATTTTTGGTACATATTTACATACAGATACATCTTGATATTGTTCTTTCCATTGATATTTTACTACATCAACATGCTTTTCAACTTCTGTAATTTTGGGTATAATCTTTTCTTTTATATCAACTACAATCTCTTTTTCAACGAATTTATCTACATATTTTATTTGAGGAACTTCTACTTCTATAATTTTTTGTTCTCCTTCATATTTTGGTACCGGTCTAGGCACTTCTCTTACATCCCAAATAGGAGAAAAAATTGGCTTATATCCAATTGGTACATCTACTTCTATAGGAGTTTCAATTACTTTTTTCTGAGGGATATTTACAGTTTTTTCTTTGTATAATAGTTCAACAGTAGGTACGTCATGTTTTGTCTCTTGACTGTAATATTTTGGTTGTACTACATCTTGAATTTCATATTTTGGTATTTCTATTATTTTATCACGAAGATACTTATCTTGATAAACAGGAATATTAAATACAGGCTGATCTCCTTGAACATTTATTATTGGTATTTCATTATTTTCATATATATAAGTTTCTCCATTGTTATAATATACCTGATTATATTCTTTCTCATTTAAAAGATTACTATTAGTATTAACAAAATCTTCTCCTTTGCAACAATCACTGAAAAGTAACCTACACTGTTTGTTTTCCATAATGGATTTTATTATAGTTCTTTTTCTTAATGTCTATTTAATTTTGTAAATTTCTTTTGTTTTATAAATGATAATATAAAATCTATCTGAAATTACTTTGATGACAAGGCGTATCTTAAAATAAATTAAAACAAAAAGTTTTTTTAAAAAAAACAAATACAGAAGGTATACTGAGAAAAAAAAAAAAAAAATAATAATAAAATCAAATAATTAATAATGTTTAATTATATATCCTTATATGAATATACTGCATTGAAATATACATCATTCATTAAGGGAAATCAAAAGTATTCATATAATATAGATATATTAATATTCTCTTAATAAATTAAATAAATGTTCTTTTATTTATTTATATTTTATTTAAATGTATAAAAAGATAACTATTTATTATCTGGTTGTTATATATACATTTTTCTTTCTTTTTTTGTTGTTATTCCATTAAGATTTTTTCTACCTACTTCTGAATTTTTCTTTTTTCTTTAAATTTAATCCTTTTGTTTATCCGAAAAAGGATATGCAACAAAATTACAATAATTGTTTTATTAAAATCACCTAAATTTATAGTAATATATACAAATAATTGCTATTTATATTTTATTTGTAAAAGAGATAATATTGTGCCTTCTTCAAAAAATTAAAGAGAAAAATGAAAAAAAAAAAAAAAAAAAAAAAGACAAACATATAGATAGACAGACAGGAAGACAAATAGGAAGAAAATTAAAGGCATATAGATAGAAACATTAAGGAAATATATTTAAAATATTATAATACATAAATACAGATGTAAAAAAAATTGCACATTATATTATATTTATTTATTTTATTATTTTTATTTATTTGAACTCCATCTTAAAGGTGTCACGTGTGCATCAAACTATATAAATTTTGATGTACAGAAAAAAAAAAAAAAAAGAAGGCTTAATAAAAATGAAAAAAAATTTTGAATTCAATCACATTTACAATGTGTATTTACAATTAAAACATTTTTTTTATGATAAAAAAAAATATATATTAAATTCCAAAAATCTTTATTTTTATATATATTAGAAATAATATTATAAAAGAATAAAAATTTTTAATTTTTGTTCCTTCCTATTAATTCTACATATTCTTGAATTAATTTTCCTTTTGGGAAGATGTCGTGTATATATTAAATATATATATAAAAAAAAAAAAAAAAAATTAATAAAATTTTTAATCTTTTAAATCTTTTTATATAATAATATATATTTATAAGATATGAATAATATAATTGAGAATATGATTTATGCAACACATACCTTTTATTTATATAAAGTCATATAGCTTAAATAAACTCTTGGAAACTTTTTTGATATAAAAATATATATCAAAAAAGTAGTTCATTTGAGAATTATTTTCCTCATTTGTGCGCTTTTATGCACAATATATTCTTAAAACAGACAAGTTTGTAGAATAAGATCTTTAGTTGTGTGCATATATTTCAATGTTTTAGTTACATATCATTGTAAATTAACAATTTATAGGTATTAAAAAAAAAAAAAACAGAAAAATGTTTAACATTTCTTATTTCTATGCATTTTAAAGCCTTAAAAAAAAAGTTTTTTTTTTTTTTTTTTTTTTGACATCATACAATATGAAAATAATGGAGTGATACCACGAAATAAACTTTTTTTTTCTATGTAATTCTAAACTTCAAAAATATTAAATGTGATCTTAAAATTTTTTTTTTTTTTTCAAAAAATATGAAAATAAATATAATTATCATTCTACACATCTTATTAAAGTTATGATGAAATGAAATGTAGTAAGGTTGAAAAAAAAAAAAAAAAAATTAAATATATCAATGTAAACATTCTTAAATATTATTTTTATTTATTTATTTTAGTTGTCGAAATTATGTCTTAATCTTCATGTATGTTTTTATTTGAAATAATAAAAAAAAGAAAAAAGTAATTATTAAAAATGGATGATCTATTTTCATATTTAAAGATATACAAATTAAAAGGACAAAAATTCATTTCTATAAAAAGAAAAAATTTTAAGGTTAATTCTTAATATTTTTTATTTCCATATTTAAAAATAAAAAATAAAATAAAATCCTTTTGAATAAAAAAAAATTGTTTTTTTTTTTTTTTTTTTTTTGTAATAAATAAGGTATATATTTCTGGATAATTTATTTTCATGAATATTTAAAAAAAAAGATTAGAGAAAATTTTAATTTTACATTTCTATTTTTTTTGTCATTAATGTAACTTTAGTATATCCTTTGTCAAATGTACAATTTTCTATTTATCTACAAATTTTGAAAATTTTAATATAATATAAAATTCAGACACAAAAAAAAAAAAAAAAATAAAATAAAATAAAATAAAATAAATTACATAATTTTAATTTATATTGCTTTATATTTCTGATTATTTCTAATTTTATTTTTTATAAATTTATTGTTTAATTCTAAGTATGTTTTTATAGTTTATTTAATTATTTTTTAAGGAATTTATATCAACTATAATAAAAAGAAAAAATTAAAAAATATATAAAAATAGTATAAATAAATATATAAAATAAAAAATTAATGTATAAAATAAAAAATACACATATAAAGTAAAAAAGCAGGGATGAATAAATATATAAAAATAAATATTTTTTAATATGATGATGTTATAATTTTAATAATGTAAAATTTTTTATTAAATAATAATTAAAAGAATTTTATATTATAAAATTACAGAATGAAAATATTGAGTTTAAGAATTAGAAGTATAGAATAATTATTTTTTTATAAATTTTATTTATTTTTGATGACATCTATTTATTTTATGAATAACTTTATATATAAGGAAAATTTTTTTTTTTTTTTTTACAAAGTCTATTAAAAAATGAAAATATTAACATCCTTTAGACATGATAGTGGAAGATTTATTTTAAACACTCCAAAAGATAATGTTCAATTTATTATATGGCAAATGTTATGCTTGCAATCATTATATTATACTATTTCTAGTATAACAATTTTTATTTTTTTTACTATTATAAATTTTTCTAGAAATTTGTCTTACATTTTTAATACAAAATCTTATTTTAATGGAGATCATGCTTTATTTTACATATTTTTTATAAATATATTAAATTCCATTATAATGTAAAAAATAATAAGGAAAAGTTTTGTTATCTAATAAAATTTTAAAATCTTTATAAAAAGATTTAAAAGTAATGATTAAAAAGAAAATATGCTTTTAATAAAATATCTTTTTTTTTTTTTTTTTTAAATTTAGGTCTTACCCTATTAAACTTATTGTCAAAAGAGCAAAAAAGTGTTTAGACTACGTTTTATCTTATAATATAATACATTTTATTTTATCTGTTTTAGTATCAGGGTTTCCAATATCATGTACAAAAATATATATATATATATATAATTCATATTTCTTATCATACATTTATTCTTTTTAACATATTTAAAGGATGAAATATATATATATATATATATAAATGGTATTTTTTTTTTTTATATTTATTTTATTGCTTTATTTCTTCCTTTTTTTTTTTTTTTAAACTATCAAATTTATTACTATTCTTTTATGAAAAACTTCGAATTTTTTAGGGTTGTGGTATATCAGTTTTTTTTTTAATATTATCTTATGTGTACTAATTAGTGAATATATATGTTACAAAGAAGAAATGAAAGAAATTAACATAAATAATATTAAAATATAATAATTGTTATATTTGTTATTTTTATAATCATATGTTAAATAAATGCTATAATAAAGTAATGTTATACTATTACAGTTTTATTATACACACATTTAAACAATATATTCTGTTTTTTTTTCATAGTAATATAAGTTATAAATATTAAAATGATATGTAATCAAGCCTAAAAAAATAGAAAGAGTTAAAAACCTTAATATTATATAAAAAAACAAAAATCCCAAAAAATTAATAGAGAAAATAAAATATTAAAAATATGGCATTTAAAAGAAACTGAATATAAAATTAGATACAAAATTATAAGTATAAATATACATTATAAATTATAAATACTTTATATGTTAAAAAAAAAAGAAAAAATTAAAATTTTTTATGTGAATATTATGAAAATTAAAAATAATTATTTTTTATAATTATATTAAATTAATTTATTTTTTTTTTAAAACATTTGAAATATATAATAAATTTTGATGCAAATAATAATAATAACAAATTACAAAAAATTAACACTATTTTATAGTTAATATAAATGGTGAAATAGTTACAGATTAAATATCTTTGATCTCTCATTGAAATGATTTCTTCATTCTTGATTTTGTTTTAAATAGGAATAACTAATTTATTAAACATAAACTTATCATATAAGTATAATATATAACAGAATTTAAATGACTTTCCTTATTATTTCTTTTAATATTTATAGATATTATTTATGGTTTAAAATTATTTCTTTTAAAAATCACTCATATATTCAAATTATAAAGAAACTACAAATATAACTTATAGACAGGCTTTAATTTTTTTTCATACGTTTTTTTTTCATACGTTTTATATAATATAAATAAAAAATATTCAATTATCACCCAATAATAAAGAAGAATGTTATTTCATCATTTTTTTTTTTTTTTTTGCATCTTTTATTATATAAAAAAAAAAAAAAATTTCATTTTCAAAGATTATATTTTAATTTATTCTTATAACATAAAATTATTTCTAATTTTTGAATTATACAAAAGTTTTTTTTTTTTTTTTTTTTTAAATCTTATATAAATGAAATTTATTAAATATTCATTAATATTTAATTATAAAAAACTATTTATTTGAATTTTCACATATAAAACTAAATTAAAAAAAAAATAAATAAAATGATATTTTATTTTTATTTTGAATTTTAAAGTAAACATATATTTTTATAGTTATTAAAGAGATTAAAAGAATTATATCTTACAAATATATTATTAATTTATTTTTTTTTTATATCCATTAATATCAATATTAGTTAGTTCTAGATATTTATCAAAATGGGTTAAATTAGGAATTATTCCTTTTAACTCATAATAAATATCTTTATTATTAACTTTTTCAGTATATGATAAAATTTCTTCATAGATCTTCTTATTTCTTTCTTTAACATAAATTATTAAACTGTTAAAAATTTTGATTAATTCAGTCCTTAAAATAATTTCTATATTCAAAAGAAAAATGTTACATAACTTTTCATAAAACATACAATCATCTATAACTTTGCATAAAATATTTTTATTTCTAGTACAACTAAAAAGTTTCAAAAGTAAACCATTTAAATTTTTAATATTATAAGTTTCATCTATATTATCTTTATTTTTATAAGAACTAATTATTTGTTCTACTAAAACTAATAAATTTTTTAAAACTTCCTCATTTTCAGTATAAGATAAAAATTCATAAATAATAATTATATATCTTTTATTTTTTAAGTATTCGTTTAATTTTATTTTATTTTGAAAAAGTATTTGTAATTGTTCAATTATTGGTTTTATAATTTCAGTTTTTCTTTTCTGTCCACTTTTTACACTTTTTAGAGCTTTAGAATATATCATATCTTTCCATTCAACAAAAAAATATTTATCTTCATTGTATTCATTTATATCATAAAAAAATTCTAAAATAACATAAAAACCATAATAATCATTAAATATATTTTCAAAATCACTTACAATTTTCTTTACAATAAAATTATTCAAAATTTTAGTATCATCTGTTATTTTTAGTAATCTTATTATTAATAAAAAGTTTACGCTGTTTTTGCATAATTCTATTACATCATTTTTTAATATTTTTATTAAAATCTTTTTATGTTTATTCGTGCTATATCCTAATAGATGAATTAATGCTTTATTACCTATATTTGTTGATATTAAATATTCACATCCCTCATGTATTATTTCCATTAAATTTGTTAATTCTTCATCACTTAAAACCTCACATGCAACTAAAATAATATTATGTGAAACGATGTTATACAACAGTTCTTTTTCTACAATATTTTCAATAATTTCAACTAAATATTTGTTTACTGCCTTTTTATTTTCTTCAGTAAAAATTGAAAGCATCTCTTTTGTTGGTTTTTTTAAAACTTCAGAAGAAATATTTTTTAATTCATTAATATTTGGAATTATCAAATAGTTAATTATTTTTATTCTCATAGGTGCTTTTAATTTTTTAAAAACAACGTGCCATAGTCTTGATGCAAATTTTGTTAAAAAAGTCTTAGTATTTTTTGTTAACCATATGTAAATAGTATTTTTTATCTGTTCATTACCGTGCTTATAAAAACATTGAAATATTAAGGAAACAAAATTAAAGGTACAAATATCATTAAAATGTTTATAAAAAATATCCCATAATTTGTTTTGAATTTCATCTTCTCCATTTATAATTAAAGATGAGATAATATGATAACCTAAATTAGTACGAGAAAATTTAATTAATTCAACTTTTTTTAATTCACTATAAATGATATCTACTTTATTCTTTTTTTCTGTTTTATTTTTACTTTTTAATAAATCATTCAAATACAACCTCAACTTTTTATAATAATCATAATTTTCTATTACTTTTTTTTTTTTGAGTTCTTTTATCATTTTTTTCTTTTTTGATTTAGATAAGTTTTCATCATTCATAATTTTCCTACATTTTTCATTTAAGTAATCATCTTTTATTTTTGAGTTGCTTTTGTTTTTTGATTCTTTAGAAATATCTCCATTAAATTTATTTTTCATAATTTTCTTAAGTTTTTTTTTATGTTTTGGTATGTCATCATCCTTCTTATAATTCGCTTTTTTTCTACTACTTAATTCATTTTTATCAGAAAATTTTTCTATTTTTCTATTTTTCCGTTTTACAAAATTTTTCTTCATTTTTATCAGTTATTTTTATAAATATTGTATATCCTCTAAACTTATTGTTTTATATGTTTTTTTTTTTTTTTTTTCTTTCTCTTTTTTTTTAATATTTGATGAAAAATTTAAAATAAAACTAAATATATATTTATGTTAAATACATTTAATAACTTTTTTTTTTTTTTTTTTTTTTTTTAAATGATAAAATAATTTATGTTTTTTATCAACTCATTTTATATATTGTCAGTATTTAAAAAATCATTAACATTTTATGAATTATTATTAACAGAATAACTTACATTTTAAATAAATATATCAGAATCATTTTTTCAAAATTGTTTTTTTGTACAAATATGTATATAATAAAATGAAAATATGTCAAATTATGTTTTATTATTTTTTTTTTTTTATCTTGACATAATGGTAATATAACAAATAATTCTTTCTTAATGAGAGTAGAAAAATATATAAAAATTAAAAGAAAATACAAAATCTATATATTCTTAATTTAAAATTTATAGATTTATGCTTGTGAATTTATGTATATTAATCATTGTAACTATTGTTTATATGTTTGTAAAAAACATTATTTTTATTTTTTTTTTTTTTTTATTTTATTTTTATTTTATTTTTTTTTTTTAACCATTTAAATTACAAATAACAATGTCAATTATTAAAAATATACACTAAAAATATTTCATATGAAATTAATAAGAAAGTAAATATACATGGAAAAAATAGGAAAAATTCAGAACATTTTTTTCTAAAAAAAAATAAATTTAAATATAAATTTGGTAAAAGTAAAAAAATATAAATGCAAATTATATAAAAAGCCTTTAAACTTTGAAAAAATACATATATATATATATAATTATACAAGAATAGATGTGATATTAATTTAAAAAAGTGTATAATAATTTAAAGAGAAGGATAAAAAAAAATAAAATATTATGCAGTGGTTTTAAACAATGGAAGATCATAGAGACAGCGATGGAATTTTATTAAAACACGGATTCTGTGAAATGTTAAAAGGAGGAGTAATAATGGACGTAAAAAATGTAGAACAAGCAAAAATAGCTGAAGAATGTGGAGCTATTGGTGTTATGGTTTTAGAAAATATACCATCAGAACTTCGAAATAGAGAAGAAGTAGCTAGAAGTGTAGATCCAATAAAAATTGAAGAAATAAAAAAAGCAGTATCAATAAATGTATTAGCTAAAGTACGAATAGGCCACTTTGTTGAATCACAAATTTTAGAAGAACTTAAAATTGATATGATTGATGAAAGTGAAGTTTTAACAGTAGCTGATGAAAACAATTATATAAATAAACATAAATTCAAAACTCCTTTTGTATGTGGATGTACTAACTTAGGGGAAGCTTTAAGAAGAATTTCTGAAGGAGCTTCTATGATTAGAACAAAAGGAGAAGCAGGAACAGGAAATATCATTGAAGCTATTAAGCATATTAGAACTATAAATAATGATATAAAGTTTTTATGTGCCTTAAGTGAAAATGAAATTTATAATTATGCCAAAAAAATTAACACACCTATAGATTTATTATTGCTAACCAAAAAGTTAAAAAAATTACCAGTTGTTAATTTTGCAGCTGGTGGTATTGCTACTCCTGCTGATGCCGCTATGTGCATGCAATTAGGAATGGATGGAGTTTTTGTTGGTTCTGGAATTTTTGAAAGTGAAAATCCAAGAAAAATGGCTTCATCCATTGTTTATGCAGTTAGTTATTTTAATAATCCTAAAATTCTATTAGATGTTAGTTATAATTTAGGAAAAGCTATGTGTGGTAGCACAAAAATTTCGGAAAAGTGGAAAAATAAAAAAAAGAATGAAGAATAGAATAAAATGTAAAAATATATTTTTACTTTTATGTAATACTTATTAAACATTCCTTAAATTTTATTTGAAATTTTCAATTTACTTTTTGGTATTTATTTATTATATATATTTTATACAACTTAAAATTATAAGATCTCAAAAAAAAAAAAAAGAAAAAAAAAAAAGTCTCTAAAATAACTATAATTTTTTTAATTTATTTTATTTACTTATTTTATTTTTTTTTTTTTTAATATTTAATAAAATTATATATTTTAATGTTATGTTTTTGATTAAATGATACATTAATATTTGTAAAATTTATCATTTCTAATATGTATAGAACATTTTTATTTCTTTAATAATTTGTCTATTCTTAATATTTTATTACTTTAATAAATTATAACTAAACTTTTTCAAATATAATGTAATTTAAAAAAAATGAATATTTCATACATTAATTATTTCTTTTTAATTATATTTTTTAATAATCACAGGAAATACATTTTAATACTTAATATATTTATATAAATATAAAGAGAAATAATTTAAAGAAAAAGTATTTTTCTACATAAATGTAATAATTTATATTATATTTATTCTAATTTTTTTTTCCTTTTTTTTGTTAAAATAATATACTATATAATACTAATTAAAAAAAAAAAAGTAGCTTTTAAATGAAACTATTTTTTTTAAAAGAGTAAATTCTATTTAGAATAAATTATTGTATTTTTGTAATATATTATTTGAATAATTACTCATAATAAATTTAGGAGCATATATAATTTTTATGAAATATTAATTTTAATAACATTTTTGTTTTTTCTACATTTATGTACATATGTAATTACAAAAAAATTCTAAATTAGAATAGATACTAATATAACCAGTTGCACATGGAAGCATAGAAGAAAAAAATGGAATATAAAATTTTTTAAAAGAAATAAAAAACCTAATAGTATGTACACGTGCGTACAGGTATTTTTATTTACTTTTTTTTTTTTTTTTTTTATTTTTAATATTTTGTAAATTAGAACAAAAAAAAAATTGTATAATATTTTAATATACAATTTTTTTTTTTTTTTTTATTAAATTTTTTTTTTTATGCTATTTATATATTTTAAATTTTATATATTTGTAAATTTTTAATATTTAAAAGATTTTTTATTGAATAAAGGTCGAGTGTGTAACCCTTTGAGATTTTTAGTTAAAACTGAATGTTTTTATTAAATGAAATAATGAACATTTAGACATATATTTATAACAAACTCTTTTTTTATATAATTTTTTGGAGAATTTATTTTTTTTCAATGAATATAGTCAAATCAGAATAATGTAAAAAAAAAAAAAAAAAAAAAAAAAATTAAGATTCCTCTTTAATTAACTAATCGAATATAATGTTTGGACTTTTGTAATTCATTTATATATATATATATCTATCTATATATTTATAAATATTACATATATAAATATATAAAAATATATATTTATATATGTGTATGCTTTTAGGAATATAAATATACATATAAACATATGTATTTTTTCTTGTTTGCAGTTTTTGCAAAATATTAGTGTGTGTTATTTAGCATTTTATTATAAATATATATATTTATATTTGTTCGTTTAGATAAAAAAAAAAAAAAAAAAAATGACAGGAGGAGAAGTAATAATAGAGAAAAATCCATCAAAAAAATATTGTATATCTAAAAAGGAACCATTGTGTGATAGTATAATATGGGATATGTTACAAAATTATTATAAAAAAGCAGCTATAAATGCATGGAAAGAAAATGTTGTACCTTCTTTTGTAACTAGCAATAGTAAACTAGCCAAAGATTATGCACGAGTAATAATAAATTATATGAAGGATTGGTTTAATAGTAATGAGTGTGATCGTAATGTTCCTATTTATATTTTAGAAATTGGTGCAGGTCATGGAAAATTTACCTATTTAATCTTGAGAGCATTATCAAAATACAAAAAATTTTTTAAAAGTATGAATTTACCTGAAAGACCATTTGTGTATGTTTTTACTGATGTTGCAAAGGATAACATTACTTATTGTATGAATAATGAAAGATTAAAAAAATACATTAATAGAGGAAATAGTAGTGAACAAACATACACAAGTAAAAATAACTCATATGAAGATTCTGAGTATGAAAAACATGATATAAATTACTATTCTTCTTCAAATGATTCTTGTTGCACTTTTTCATGTGATGAAACAACTTATGCAGAAGAAAAAAATAAACATGATTCTAATTTTTCCATGCTAGATTTTGCTTTTTTTGATGGAAACGAAACAACTGACAAAATTTACTTGGAGATAGGAAAAAAATATATTCCATCTGATACACCAATAGTTCTTATATGTAATTACGTTTTGGATTCTTTATTAACAGACGCATGGATAGTAAATGGCGAAAATGATTTCAAAAGGGCTTTATTGTCAGTATATTCACCATATGAAGAAAAAGATAAAAAAAATGCAGACATTATGTTAAGAATGTCTGTTACATGGGACTGGGAAAAAGTTGATATTGAAGAAGAAGTTAAAAAAACAGGAACAGATAAGCCTTCTAATTATTTAAGAAATTATGAAGATATTTATACAGTTTTAAAATTATATTCTTATTTCAATGAATGCTTATCATTTGTATTTCCTGTAGGGGCTTTTATATTATTTCAAAGAATGCTTAAACTGAGTAATAATAAATTACTGTGTTTAATAGGAGACAAAGGATATCAATCATATGAAGAATTTAGAGGTTACAGAGATCCTCATATAGTAGTCCATGGTAGTTTGTCATTCATGGTTAATTTAAATGCAATTTGCCTTTTTTTTCTATCCATAGGTGGATATTACATATATACTCCTTACTCAGATAATTTTCAGATAGTTACTCTATTAATGCATCAAAAAAAAGATAATGTTAAAAATGAAAAACAAAGCAAGACTTCTATCACTAATAACAGTACATTAACTGAAACATTGAGTAATAAAAAAAAATTTTATATAATAGATTTTTTTAAAAAAAATATAAAAGATACTCAGAACAAAAATGCAAATAATTTATCGAACGATTTCATACCTACAAAAGAAAACAGTCGCAACTCAAGAATATATTCAAAAAATTCCGTGAACGCACAAAATGTATATAAAAAAATTAAAAAAATTAATTTAAGAAATTTAAATAACATGACTATAAAATTTGGAGGAACTATTGCATCTTTTTATGATAATATAGAACAAATTCCCCCAGATCTTTTAATTAGCTGGCAGAAATCAGTAATTCACAATATTAATCATAATGCAGCTAATGTAAACATAAAAGAGCTAATATCTTTGTTGAGATATTCGAATTATGACTCAGATGTTTTTTTTAATATTAGAAATTCTTTTATAAATTTAGCTTGCTACCCCAACATTAATGGTAGAACAGAAAAGGATATATTACTAGATATCAAAGAATGCTATAATAATTATTATTCATTAAAAAATGATGAAGATATTGCAGATATATGTGGGCATGTGTGTATGAAATTTGGAGAGTTTGAAAAATCTATTTTTTATCTAAAAGAAAGCTTACGCAAATTTAAGAACACTAGGCATTCATCAACATACATTAATATTGCTTCTTGTTATAAAATATTACGTAATTATAATAAATCCATCAAATTTATTAGATCAGCCATCAAATTATCAAATAAAGAAAATAAAAATAAAAATATTCCTTTAAATAATAACTCGCATTCTTACGATTTATTATATAATATACAATTTTGTTCTAATCCTATTACATATGCTATGATAGGAATAAATTACTACGTACAAAATGATGGACTATATTATTTATCCTTTGAAAATAGAATTAAATTGAAATATATTTTTTTACTATCTAAAGAGGAGGAAAAAGTTTTAAAATATATGAGAATGAAATATAAACATTCATCTTATGATAAAACGTCAAATAATTTTAATTTATCAGAGATAAAAATCATAAAAGTTTATAATGGAAATAAAACTCTCTCGTTAGAAGAATTATATGAACTAGAAAAAGAAAATAATCCAAACGATACAATGGTAGGGTTAAATAATATAGATGAGAAAAATAAATGTTATGACAATTTAGAATATTTAAAAAATAATTTGACAAATTGCTTGGATCAATTTGATTTTCAATTTTGCGTTATTGATGTTCCTTGGATTATTAAATCAGATATTGTAGATTTAATGTTGGAAAAATCAAAACATATTTTTACTTATGGTACATTATCAGATTCTTCTAAACGCTCTATGGATGTAATTTCGAAATATAAAAAAGTAGCTGAACACATTAGTTGGGTAAATAACAATTATATTCATGACGAATGTTTATATGAAGCAAGGGAGTCTTTAGGTTATATAAAAAATGTTATCTCTATAACGGTTACACACTATAGTACAAGTGCTTATACTAATCAAAATGAAAGCATTAATTGTAAAGAAATTTTTATAAACGATTTATGCAGTATTTTAAATTCCTTACAAATAATTTTAAACTTTAATTTAACAGGATTAACTGCTAATTTCTTAAAAAAACAAAATTCGGAAAAAAAAGAGCACACTAATCCAATAGAACTAGAAGAAAATATTGAAATATTAACAAATGGTTTTTTAAATCCAAATAATGATGATCAAAAAATATTATATAATGAAGAAAACTCTACTGGATGTTATGTGTGTTTTACAGGAATGCTAATGTTTTCACAATGTAAACAATTATCAGAATATTCTAATGTATATGGTAATTATCTATTAATGAATAATAAAAATGAAGAATTTATAACAAAAATTAATATATCTGGATTGAACGGTTCTTTATGTTTAAAAAAAACATTATCCAATTGGACTGTTAATGTTTTTAATGTTAATAACGATAAAATATTTGATAAGTCAGGGAGAATATCAGCTAGCCAAAATTCCAATGATGTATTTATAAACCAGTATTTAATAAAAACAAATGGCAAAAATAACAATATCAAACATTTCAGTGAATATGATTTAGACTGTCATTTTAAAGATTCTAATGAATCTATTGATTCAGATATTGACATTTTAGAATTTTCTTCTAGTGATGATAATGATTATAAAAGTGATAAAGGTAAAAAAGTAGATGAACAATCAAATAATTGTACTGTCTCAAATAATATTTTATCTGATAATAATGAAAACAAAATATCATTTGATAGAAATTTAGAAATACTAAAGGATATTCCTGGAAAAAGATTTTATTCTACTAGTAAAGAAATCTGCGAAAATATCAATTTAGATGAAAACTTAATTGATATAACAGTTAATAATAATTGCTTTTACTCAAGAATTATCGAAGGAATAAATTTGTCTCATAAAAAGGAGGGATCAATGGTTTACTTTAAATATAATTCTAAATGAATTAAAAGTATAATAAATATGTAAAGTAAGTCTTTATTTTTTCTTATCATAAATTTTATTTATTTATGCATTTTTATTTTATTTTATTTTATTTTTTTTTTGTAGTAATTCAAATGTGAAATGTATTTCAATATATTATTTAAATATAGAATTATTTTTGATTCAGATGGAAAGTAATTAATATTATGAAGTATTTTATTATTTATTATTAAATATATTTACATATATATTTTTTTTTTTTTATAATACTTTGACGAAACATTCTTTTTTTTTTTTTTGTAAAATAGTATTTTCTTGCTATATTTTTTATACCAATAAATAATTAATTTTTTATATAGTATTTATGTTATAAATAAAAAATTTTGCAGAACAGAGCTATATGTTTACATAAATATTAATGATGGTTAAAAAAGTGCATATAATTACAAAAAAAAAAAAAAAAAAAAAAATTAATCATAATTTTATTAAAAAAAAAATTTTTCACATTAACATAAACACATTGCATATGAAGGAATTATATAATAAAATATTTTATTATTTAAATTTTTTTAAAAAATTTTTATTTTTTATTATATTAATATTTAAATAAAAATCTTTGAATTGAATAAAATACTTCAAAAAGAAAAAAAAAAAAAAAGTAATGTTTTTAACTAAGCAGTAATTTGCGAAAATTCATTTCCTAAAAAATCATATTGAGAAAAACTTATGTAAGAAGCAAAATCAAAGTTAGAGTCTAATTGAGATTTATTTTTTTTTAATTGTTTTATAAAATTTTTAATTTCACTCATTGAATCTTGAAAATACTTTTGAAATTTTTTTTTGCTAATTTTAAGAGTTTCGCATGTCTCATCATCGGTGTAAATTTTTTTGTTTAAAAAAAGACCAAATTTCATAAATATAATTAATTTATTAATTTTTTTTTTTATTGATTTACAGATAAAATTTCTTAATCCTTTTATTACTAAATCATTGTACATAATTTCATTAAAGCTGTGAATATCATCTGAATTAACTATTAAGTCTTTATATGTATTTTTTTCCGGATTTTCTGAATTTTTATTTTGATAAACAATAGGCTTTTCTGCATCTATAATATTTACTGTAGAAGATAGCACTTTTTCTACTTTTTCTATACTCATTTTTAATCCTTCACTTATTTCTTTTATATTTGGCTTTCTATTATTTTTTTCTAAAAAGGCTTCTTCAAAATTTTTTATTTTATTATAATCCTTATACGTATGAGGTGAAATAGATATAAAAGACTTGTGTTTTTGATAATAATTATATGTACTATTTTTTGCCCATATATAAACATATTTGGTTAAATTTTTTATTCCTAATTTTTCTATGTCATATTTTTTGAATCCATTTTTGACTGATTCTAAACTAACTAGTAAAAAATCTTCTTCACTTAAATTACTACTAAAATTTGCTTCTGCTTTTCTTACAATGTTCTTTATTAGAGGTATGAAATATATAAGTAATTTCTGAGATAATTTTATTTTATTTTCTAAACCTTTTAAAAAATTTTCTTTATCATAATTATAAGCATATATTAATTCTTCCATTAATGGAGGTCTATTTTCTAATTTTTCAAGCATATAAATAGAATTTTCAAAAAAAACAATATCTTTAATGCATTCTATAAATTTCTGCACTTCTGTATTTATTAAATTTTCACAATCATTATAGAGAGGTGTTTTTGCATTTTCAAAATAATCATCAAAAATATTATATTTTTTTTTTACTTCTATATTTGGTAATTCTTGTTTTTCTTCATTTATTTGTTCCATTTCTGAATCTTTATTTTGTTCATTATTCTTGTAAATTATATTTTCTTTGTTATTTTCATATCCTGATTGAGATTCCATATTACAACAGTAAGTTTTTGAATTCAATTCTTTATGTTTTTCATGAATTTCTTTTATTACCTTTTTTTTCTTTTTTTCTTCTTTTTTCTCTTCGTTTTCTTTATTATCATCATTTGTAATTTCTTTTGTTATGCTAAAATCATATGTTATATTATTATCACCATTAATATTTCTAAATAATGTAAACATATTAGTTTTGTTATAAAAATATGTTTTAACTAATAAATCCTCATCTTCTTTTTGTACTAAATTTTTCATTTTATAGATGTATATGATTAACTTTTTTAAATTATCAACAGAAACATTGATTTCTTTTGACCACAAATCTAAAGTTAAAATTTTTTTTTGATCCCTTATACTTTCATAATATTCTAATCTTAATTTATGAAATAAATATTGCTTTATCACTTCTGTTTTAACAATTTGTCCATTTAATAATAATATATTTTCTTTTATTTTATTTTTATTTTTTTTAAATATACTTTTATCCTTTAAAGAAAGCAGTATATTATTTAACTTTCTTTTTTCTTTATCATAGATTTCATTCATATATCCCCTTTTAAGTTTTAATCGTATTTTTTCATTTTTTATATTATTGATATTATTATTCTCTATATTATTATTGTATTTTTGTATTTCACTCAGTATGCTTTCATTATTATAATTCTTATCACTTAATTTTTTTTTATTTGTATTACATACTTTTTTTTCTTTTATATTATTAACTAAAAAATTTATATTTGGATTGGAATTTAATACAAAATAATTTATTACACCATCATTAAAATTTACATTCTCATCTATATACTTAATTAATGCATTACTGTGGCATAAAGAATTGAAATAGTTATTAGTGTTAATTTTTCTTATATTTCTTACTTTATTATTTTCTATATTTTTTATATCTTTATAGTTATCCTCTTTTATATATGACTCCTTTCCTTTTTTTGTGTGTGCAGAAATATTTTTATATCTAAAGAGAATTTTTTTCTTTTTTCTCCCATTTTTTACGATATTAACAAAATCATTATTAAAAATTTTTACTTGGCTTATTTGGTAAGTTTCTATGAACGTTAATTTTTTAAAGTAAAAAAAAGTAATAAATAAATAAATATATAAAAAAAAAGAAATATATATTTTTTCTTTTTTTTTATTAAAATTATTTATAATTATTAGAATTATTAAAGGACTTAAAAAATTAAATTTTGCGTTAATCATTCCATTAAACAATTTTCATAGTATACTATATATTCCAATTAATCTATATACCTATTAGTCTTCGTTTTTATAATTTACCTAATAAAACTACCTTATAATTCTTAAAAAGAAATAAATTTAATAAAATGTCTCCTACTTAATTTCACTCTTCATATTACTTTTTTTAAAATATACTCTTTATTTAGTTAACTTTTTTTTTTTTTTTTGTTCATTATAAAAATAAATTTAAATCATAATAATTCTTTCAGTTTCTAAATTATTTACTTTTTTTCTCACAATAAAAGTATTAAAATTACGTAAACAAATGCATATATTATTCATGTAATTTTATTTACAAAAAGGAATATAATTATTAAAAGATACATATATTTAATTTTTAGAAAGGTGCTAATGTAAAGGTTAGTCCACTTATTTACTTATATTGTTTTTGTTTTGTCTTAAAATTTTTTTTTATATTCTTGTTTAACGAAAATATTTTATAATTCCATTAATAATAAAATGAAATAAAAAAAAAGAAATATTTAACTAGTTAAAATAATATAAATATAATGTATTATAAAGTACATTTATTCTTATACATCAATTATTAAATAAAAAATTTTTTTAATTACATGAATAATACTTCTTTTTTTTTTAATTTTTAAATGAATTTTTTTTTTTTTTTTTTCTACATTCATGTAATATGCTCTTTTTTAACAATTTTATTATATTGAACAAAATAAAAATTAAAAATAAAATAAATTTTAAATTATTGTAATAATTTAAACCTCACTAAAAAAAAAAAAAAAAATTGGTAACACCTTTAAAAAAAAGGTGAAATCTTGTTTTTTATAAATTCTCTTTAAATATAAATATAGGAAAAAATTTATCTTTTAGTATATATATGTTTATAAAATAAAAAAATATGATAATTTCTTAAATTTTTTTATAATATATAAAAATTTACAATCATATTATTTTTTTAATGAATATAATTTCAGTTAGCATAATGTTTCAAAAAATGATTTTTTATCTTTTTTATATGCAGAAATTTCATATATTATAATTGATTAATATATGAAATTTTACGACTATTTTATATTTATGTTTAATTATTAATATATTTCATATATATACAATAAAAATTTAAGAAACTAAAGCAAGAATTAAAGAAATAATTATATATGAAAAATGGAAAAGAAAAAGTCATGGATTAAGGTTGACAGAATGGCCGAGCGGTCTAAGGCGCTACTTTCAGAGAGTAGTCTGTAAAAGGCGTGGGTTCGAATCCCGCTTCTGTCAATAAGAATTTATGAATAAATTATTTACGTTACAAAATGATTTTATATAATATATAATTTGAAAGTTTTAAATAATTATTGAAATATAAAAAAATTAAGGTGAATATTTTATTCACTAAAATTATTTTTAATGTATTGTTCATGTTATGATCTATATAATTATAATGTAAAGCATAATACAATAAACTTATTAACATGACGTTTTTTAAATAAAAACTATATTGCCTTTTTTTATAAGATATCTAAAAAGTTAAAACAATTGTAGATTAAATATTTATTATATAAAAACTTTAGATTATCTATGATAATATTTTGATAAAAATTTTTCATAAAAATTATAAAAATATTCCAAAAAAAATTCTTTTTAATAACTATATTTATTAATGTACATTTATACGCATCCATATTTTTAAATAGTTATTTAAAATATTCTCCCAAATATTGAGGCACAAATAACTTTTTATCGTTTTCATTTTAGAATTATAGCATATTAATGTCATTTATTAATCACGTTGCGTTTTTGTTAAGTGTATCAGGAAATTTTAAAAATATATATTAAATTTTATACTGTAGTTTTATACTATTTAAATTTCTATTTATGCAAATTTATATTTTTTTTTAAAGATATGGAAAATTTTTTTTAAATATTTAGGTAAAAAAAGATATAATTAACCTTTTTGGAATAAATGTATATGGATTTATGGAAAATATAAAGTTAGACATGAGCATTCACTTATTCTAAAAAAAAAAAAAAGTTTTTTTTTTTTTTTTTTTGTAATCTATTTTTATTGAATATTTTGATATATTTTTAATTTTTTTTTTTAAAAAATACCTTTGTTGTTAAAAAAAATGTTCGCAAAAACAACATAATTTAGGATATACTTTGATTTTTATTTGTTTTTATTCAGAAGCATTGAAAATAAATTACTAAATAATTATTCATAAAAATATTACTTTAATAACGCAAAAAAAAAAATTAATAATACATCAGAGCTTGATTTTTTTTAATGAAAATAAAATGATTTTTATTAAAGGAAATACATTCAAATCCACTAAATGTTTAATGATGTAAAGTTTCATAGTTTGTAGCATTAATATAATTTTTACAATATATAAATTAATAGGGGTAACTCTACATTATCTTTATTATTTTTTCTTCTCATCACTTTAGAAAAGTTAAGAATTCATTTAAATAAATAAGAAAAAAAAGATAATTAAGTGCTCATAAAATATACAATAAAATACACTTCAAAAAAATAATATGGAAATTGTCTAAGAACAAACAGAGTATATTTAGTAAAATGTGTGAAATAAAACAAAATATATATTTATATAATCTTAAATTTTTAATATAAAACATAAAAGATTATACTAACAAAGATATTTTTAAAATATTAATATTTTACTTAATAATCAACTTTAGTTGCCATAACTAGGATAGTAGTAAAGTTTTCATTAATAATTATATTATTTTCCTTTTAATATAATTAACAATTTTAATACATACAAAATGCTTAATAAGGTAAGCAGTCTTTTTACAAGTGCAATTTAATATAATCAATAAATTATAAATAAAATTTCATTAAATATCCATATTTATTTTGGACCAGCCGGGAATCGAACCCGGGAGCTTTCGCATGCGAAGCGAACGTGATACCACTACACCACAAGCCCAGGAGTTTTTGTTCTTTCGAATTTATTTAAAATGTCAATAATTATTTTTAAAAGGAAATATAGTATTGCATTTTTACATATATAAATTTTAATCATATTTTTTTTTTTTTTTTTTTTTTTTTTTTTTGTGTTAAACAAAGATTTATCTAAATTAACTTGGTTACTTTTACTTTGACTTGATTGCACATTTGTATTTTTAATCATAATAATTTATCGTAAAAACTTTTTACACAAATATTTTTTTTGTAAATTTCGTTCTAAATATTTATAAAATAAAAAAAAAAAAAAAAAATAAATAAATGTACAATAAGAAAGAAAATTAAAAGAAAAAGAAGGAAATAAAAAAAATTATTGCAATTTTTTTTTTAAATTTAAACGAACCTTCAAAAAATATATTTTTCCATTAAAATTTAAGGCATGATAAAAAATACAATAAAATCAAATACTTTAAAATTTTTTGTATTTATTAAGCAAATTAATATTTTATAATGTTTTTACTTAAAACGATATAAAGCATAAAAATATGTTATAAAAGAATATTAAGATTATATTATAAATAAAAAGAAAGATATTAGATATCCATTTGTACAAAATGAATAGAAGTTTTTTCAATTTTAATGTCTGTAATAATTATGTCCGTTTTTATAGAATAATTTTAAATTTTACATGATTTAAAATTAATAAAAAAAATTATTACTATTTTATATATAGATACAATAATATAAATATTACTCTTTGTTTAACTTTTTTATTAAATTTTTAAAATGTATAATGCCAACTCTGAAAAAGAAAAAAGTAATGAAACTTCTGGTATGGATGAAAAAAATAAAAATATTAATGAAGTGATTGATGAAGTAGACACCAATGTAATTTTGCAGATTAACTCAATGAACAGTGAAAATAAAAAAATTTTTTTAAATAATTATATAGCAAAAATAAAATACATGAACGAAAATTACTCTAAGCCAAGATATTATGAAATATTAAATGTTGATGTAAACTCAAATGTAAAAACAATAAGAAAAAGCTATTTATTATTATCGAAATTATTAAGCGTTAATAAAAAGTTATCAAGTGAATATGAAGAATGCTATTATTTAATACAAAAATCTTATAAAATATTAACAGATAAATTTGAAAAGTTTTATTATGACGTTTTAAATAATTATATTGACGAATCTATGATAGAAGAACAAAGACAAATATTAGAAAAAGAAGCTAATTTTATATATGAAAATAAAATAAATGAACTAAAAGATGAATATTATAAAAAATTAAAAGAAGAAAAAGAGAAAAATGGATTAATAATAGAAAAAGCACTGTTTGGAAATTTATCTCTAAAAGACGAATGCATAAATAATTGCTTTAACATTAATCCAATTACTGAAGATCATATACAAGGTCCTTTTTTAGATTTAACAATACTTTTGCAATGCAGAATTGAAAATAGTTCACTATTATTCAATGATGATGTTTCATTTGCCTATTTTTTGGGAATTCCTAAACCATTAATTAAAATATCTAGTGAAAATAAGAAATCATATGTCCATATATTAGAAGATACAGAAATGCATTTATATATTAAATATAAATTTTTAAATGTATACCATGAATTAATTGTTGTAGACAGATCAACATTTACTTTACCTCAAAGTGCTCATAGAGTTTTTGGAAATCACATTTGTGGTCCATTTTCTCCTGTTAACGTAATAAAATTAAAACATTTATCTAATTCATTCATGGATAATATTTTTAAATTTTTTTCAAAAAATAAGGTTTATATTACTTTATTTACAACAATAATACTGTGCGCGCAATCTATTAAATCTATGTAGGTAAAAAAATTATTACAAATTACATAAATAGAAATTATTAAAAAGAAAATATATAATAAAAACAGGGAAGCAAAAAAAAATTTCATTTTTTTTACTAGCAATTTTAATTTTTTTTTTTAATGTTTTCTTATTTAAGAAAATTGTAATATTATATGTTTTTTCTTTTTTTTTTTTTTTTTTTTTTTGTAAT